GCTCTACGCTCGGTGTCCCAAAGCAACTTGTGGTAACTTGAGAGGTTTCTTTTGATGAACTAAAATAGGAGTCAGTTAAATTCTTGAATAGACATGAACATACGCCCTCATTTCAAAGTCTGCAAGTCTGGCCTGTCTGATCCTGTGTCCTTCTCGGGTGTAATTTCCCATGGACTGAATGTCTTATTTATGCATGTGGCTAAGGTGCTGGGGAGCCCCTTCTCGTCTGTCTTACAGAACTAGGATTTCATATAACCAACTGCCCACCTAACCTTACCATAGACATGTTTGGCGGATGTGCGTGCCCATGAAGTCACCGCCACAGGTGCAGAACCTTTACGTCATCTTCGGATGGGGACACGTCTGTGTTCCCTCCCCCTCCTCCAGGTGCTCCCGATAGCAGGCGTCTGCCCTGGACTGTAGCGGAGTTGAGTGTTACGTGAACTCCGCCCTGCCTCACCCTGTTGTGTTTGGACTCTGAGCGTCTGTATCATTGTTAGTCCTTCATCATTGCTGAGTGACGGATATGCCATCTATGGCTTAATCACATTTTCATGATGGACATTCAGGTTTTTTCAGTGTGCATACTATTATGAAATTACTATTACTAGATTTACTACAAATAAGTCATTGTGTGGATACGTGCTTTTTCTCTTTGGAGAAGTGTAGTTCAATGGTGGCAAGTGTATGTTTAAATTTGTAAGAATGTCCCATTTTTTTGTGTGAGCATATCATTTTTTATTTCTACCAACAACAGTGTGAGTTCTGGGTGCTTCCATATATGTGCCAACATTTATTATTATCAGTCTTTTTTTAGCTCTTGTGTGGGTGTGTAATGGCACCTCACTTTGCATTTCTCTGAAGAATGATACTTTTTCACGAATTTGTGATACCGCTACGTCTTCTGTGGCATAGTGGACGCTTGACTCTGACCTTTTACAATGTGAGTGTCAGCTGAGTCGCGGTCACTGTGAGCTGCTGCTTAGTTTTTATTTGGGGTTCCTGCAGAGTCACACTGAGTTAAAAGATATGCTACAGAGAGTTGTCCTGTGTCCCTCACAGTTCATGAGTTTGCCTGCCAAGCTCTGGCATGTTGACATTAATGTAATTCATGAGCCAGGCTCAGATCCGCCCAGTTTTACTTGGTTTATTTCTGTTTGTATGACTAGCTCTGTCTTGTCATACGTGTAGTTTTTATGCTTGAAGTACCAAGCAAGGGGTCCTGTGTGCCCTCCCTGTTTCCTGTTGCCCACCCCTGGCCATCTGTAATGTCTCCATCCTCTAGCTTTGTTACTGTGAGATGTGACCCGTGGCACTGGACACTCAGCCTAGTTCTCCGGAGGTTAGTAGGTGCTGGCCCATGGGTCGATGTCTGTGTCTTTTCACTGCTGAGCTGCGTTCCAGGAAGTGGACGTGCCGCAGTTTGATCCTCCCCGCCGAGTGCTATCAGCTCCGACACATTGAAGCCGCTGTGTCCCTCATATCAGATACACAGTGCAGGCATAAAGAAGACACCCACTACATTAGCGCCCAAAATTGACTTTCAGCTTTAGTAAAACGTACAATGGGAAAATTATATGTCTACAAATAGTGCTTCCAAATAAATTTCTTCATGACTTATTGTCCGTAAGTGTGTTGCTTTATACTGCTTTATGCATCTGTGTAAAGTGGGGCTGTGTAGAAATTTCCTGGGTAAAATGGTTGCACATGGGGCTGTGTACGGGCTGACCTCCCTTCTGGGGTTTTTGCTTTTCTTTGCTTAGCGATAGATGACTGCCTCGCCTGCCCCACGGTGCACATGGCCTAGAAATTCCAGAAGTTACCCATTCATTTGTCTCATCCATTGTCTCTTTGGTGTACTCCCCTTTCTCCTTGGTTCTGTGGAGATGGCTGATTAAATGAGTTTTCTCATGATCTCCTTTTTGTTTGTTTGCTGGTTGGTTGGTTTGGGGCAAGGTCTGTAGGTGGCCCAGGCTTCTGGAAATTGCTCTGTGGCCCAGGCGGATATTGAACTCACAGTCTGTCCACCTCAGGCTCCTGAGGTCTGGGATTTCAAGTGCATTGCCACATTCGTCTTGAGCTTTCAGCCACACCCCTGGTGTTTCTCCAGAACATCCTTTTCATTGTTTGCAATAGAGCTAGGTTGAGGGTTTTCTAAACATTTCAAGTTTTAATTCGTTTTTACTTAAATCTAATTCCTTTGTAAAAATTAAGTTCTATTTTTTTCTTTCTTTTTTGAGACAGGGTTTTGTTTACTGCTGTAGATCAGTGGTTCTCAACCTTCCTAGTGCTGCCATCCTTTAATAATACAGCTCATGTTGTGGTGACTCCAACCATAAAATTATTTTCTTTGCTACTTCAAAACTATAATTTTGCTACTGTTAGGAATTGTAATGTAGATATTTGATATGCAGGATACCTGATATGGACCCCCATGAAAGGGCTGCTGGCTGGGTGGTGGTGGTGCACTCCTTTAATCCCAGCACTTGGCAGGTGGTTGTCTGAGTTTGAGGTCAGCCTGGTCTCCAGAGCAAGTTCCAGGACAGCCAGGGCTACACAGAGAAACCCTGCCTCGAAAAACAAAACAAAACAAAACACAACACAACACAACACAACACAACACAACAACACAGAACAAAACAAAACAAAACAAGGCTACTTACACCCCAGGGGTTGTGACCCCCAGATTGAGAACCACTGCAGACCTGGGAGAATGGAGCCCATAAATGTAGAATAAAGTCTCATGCAGTAGTCAACTTTATTGAGAACATTAGACAATTGATACTTGGAGGCTTCAGAGGAGTCACATGAGTAAAGTGTCCAATCACAAGGGCGAGCTGCACCTGGTGAAAGCATGTTTTTCTATAGAGGCAAATAAATAAATAACAGTAGCCAATTGTAATGAATAATCGGAAGTCAACTCACTCCCATCTGCTACACTGGGGGTGGGGGAGCCAAAAACACATTCTCAGAAGGATTCTGTTTTGAAGAAACGGAGGTCACAAGACCCTTGTCTTGTTTTCTCACGAGCACTCTGAAGTATTGTCACTCAAGTCCATTCTGGACCTTGTTCCAACAGGTTCTCACTATACAGTCCTGTTGGCTTGGCCAATTTATGTCTTACCTCATATTTTACTGTTAGCAGCAAAGAAAAACTGGGCCATTTCATCAACATGCTGTTTTTGAAATAGCCACATTTAAATATCCAGTGTCAACTTCCTGCCCCCCCTTTTGTCTCCTGCCTTCCCTTCCTCTCTCCCTTCCCTCTCTCTCCTCCCTTTCCCATCCTGCCTCGCCCCCTTTGCTGTGAACTTTCATTACACTCCTCAGGCTGGTCTTAAACCCAGGTTCAAGTGGTTCTCTCACCTCAGCCTCCCAAGCTGGACTATGTGAACCACAGCTCTGGCCAAGCCCATCTGCCATTCACCCCTACTTTCCTTAAGACACTGAGCACAGTTCAGCAAAGATCTCTGCTGCTTCTAACAAGAATCACCTTCCTCTGTCTTCAATAACATGATCCCCCTTTCTGTCTGAGGCCTCACAGATTCATCTCTTGTTGGTTTGTTTGATTTATATAGGGTTTCTCTATGTAGCCCTGTCTGTCCTGGAACTCACTCTGTAGTCCAGGCTGGCCTCGAACTCACGGAGATCCACCTGGCTCTGCCTCCCGAGTGCTGGGATTAAAGGCGTGCACCACCACAGCCCAGCTCACAGATTCATCTTTAACACACGGATTTCTTGTTGCCCCCTTTTCTAATGTGTACTTCAGAACTCTAATTCTTTCCCTAGTACTTGGTTCCAAAAGCAATTTTCGTAGTGTCACCCTGCTTCTGTGTCTGCTTGCCAGACCTGCCCTAACACCCCACACTAGTAGCCCCAAACACAGATTTCCATCCCACAACTCTGGCTGCAGTCCAAGAACAAAGCATCGGTGGGATAGTTCTCCTGAGTCAAGGACTTTTTGTCTAGCAACTGTCTTCAAAAATTATTTTATTATATTTAATGAAAAGTGATTAGAGATTATGAATGACATATTTTCTTTAGTGGGGTGAGTTCATGTTTGTGAATTCCCCAGAGAAGATTCACTTAGAAGAATAGAGGGTTGGTCATGACCAACAGAAAGGAACTGATGGGCCTTTCCTTCATCCTCTCTTCTCTGCAGCTCTTCTGAGTGAAGATGCTGACAGCCATTGTTCTAGACCGTGTTTCAAGGCTGTTTAAATAGCAGAGAGCCTTGTGACAGAGTTGGAGGCATCCTAGGTTCCTTCAACCTGGGAATAATGTCAACCTTCCTAGTGTCTGTTTCCGCGCCCAGTCACTGCATCCTGTGGACTCAAATTTCTAAGTAGTTCTCTCTTTGCTCTGTGTTTTCATCCTTGTAGCTAACTGCCCATGTTTATAGCCACAGGCTCCCGTTTAGATGTTGAAATGCATTTAGTCTCAGAGTGAAGGGGTAACCCTATTTATTTGTGCAGTTGGGGGATAGGAAGTTGGGATGATGCAAATTACACACAATTTAGGGAACTTGTGGAATAATAGTCTGAAAAAAGTTTTTAGGTTTTGTTGTTTGTTTTTGCATGTGAAAGTATTTTAGAGCTGACTTGATAACCCCCCCATGATTATGTCAAAAAAAAAATTTGAAGTGAGAGACCTTATGTGCCATGTTAACAGTTCATCAGCAAATGTAAAGCCGAAGGGCGGCTCTCACCTCGCTGTCACTGTGGGCTTTCTAACAACGTGCTGCATAGACTTTGTAGGGTGAAGCAGGAAACCAACCTTTGATTACCTGAACGCAGCTCCTCCCATCGCGCTGTTTCCAGTTCTCATAAAGGTGGTAGACTTGGTAGCTGTTTTTCACAAAGTCCAAGTCTAGAATTTCGTCTTCTCTTTTGTAACAGGAATGAAGACCTGAAGCAGATGCTGGAGAGCAGCAAAGACTCCGCCAAACTAGATGCTATGAAGCGGATTGTTGGGGTAGGTCAAGTGTTCAAGGCTGTGACTGTTGGAAGCTGTGGGTGGGATTATATTCACTGTGCGTGCCAAGGCATAGGTAAACAGCAGTAATTTGTTCTTTCTTACTAATTTAGATTACCTGTTTAAAAATGTTAAGGGACAGTAACATAAGAAATCAAGACACTTGTCTCCTAGTTCCATCTGTTCTGCTCTAATTTTCCATCGCTAACATCAAGACATTCCTTCCCTGAGATAGAATAAATCATTTTGAAGACAAAATAAGGCAATAGCATAACCCTATTTTCACTTCCGGGTATTTAAGGGTTTTTGTTTGTGATCTTACTGCCTACGGTCGTGAGCACAGAGAGCTGAGATCCTCTCTTCTCATGCCGCAGTCTAAACCCGTCCATGACACAAACTTCAGGTGTTAGTGGGTGTTTAGTGAGGCGGTCTGGAGATGAACTGTCTGAAAGGAAAGTCGAAGGAGTTGTGTCTTACAACAGCCATGGATGGCTTGGTCCCTGCTTCCGTGTGAATGGTAGATGTCATTTGGCACTGTCAGCAAAACGCTGATGAATCTATTTCTTATATTTTATTTATTAATATTGTACTTCATACTTCATAGCTTTGTGTGAACAAAATTTCATTTTTCACAATTTAAAGAACTGTAGCTCCCCAACAACATGCTCAGATTTTGATTGTGATTAGTGTACTGATTGAGTAGTTAGTTACATGTTGACATTCCGCCTGCCAGCCTTCAGTCCACAAGTACTCTGTAAATTCTCAGTTTCAAATCAGACTGTGTTGGTTGCTGCACTTATTAATCAGTCTATCCTCCGACAGCAAAAGGTGTAGTTGCATCCTTGTTTCCTGTAATATTTTCCAAAGTGGATCATTGGAAGAGGGATTTGGTCCCCAAATAACGCAACTTTAGCAAATGAAATAAAAAGTTGTTTTTTATTTATATTTATTTTATTTATAACAATAAAATGTTGTCAGTGAAATTCAGCCTGAGGATTGGTAGATTGTGTGGAAATAGCTAAACACCATTGTTTGAAAGACACTTACATTTCTAGCTGAAGGGACTTAGAAAAGGCACTTAAGCAACTAAGGGGGGTTTGATTAAAAGGATGAAGTTGACGGGAGGAAGTGATGGTATTAGAAAGAAACAAAAGAAGAAAAAAGAAAAGAAAAGCACTTCCTACTAACTAAAGGACTTTTAAGAGATACTTGACAACATTACAGGTACAAAAATAGGATATTGGGAACGGATCCAGACTGAGAAAGGTGAAAACTGTTTCCAGGGCAGAGAAAAGATGATCAGCGTGCGGTAAACGAAGAGAAGATGGCAGCTGTCCATCTGCTCTTAGCAGTTCATTCTCAGTGCTTCAAATTGCAGTGTGCTAATAACTTTATTTTCTATTCATTAAATAGTAATACACATTGCTGTTTAGAGTTTCCCTGTTCTGATAATTTTCATGAGAATGGCTCCCTTAGATGTTTGAACAGTTTGGGAAGGATTAGGAGGTGTGGCCTTATTGGAGGAGGTGTGTCACTGGGAATGGGCTTTGAGATTTTAAAAGCCCACACCAGGCCCAGTCCCTCTCTCTCTCTGCCTGCTGCCCGTGGATCAAGTTGTAAAGCTCTCAGCTACTCCTCCAGTGCCATGCCTGTCTGCTTCTCACCATGATGATCATGGACCAACCCTCTAAAGCTGTAAGAAAGCCCCACTCAAATGCTTTCTTTTATAAGAGTTGTCTTGGTCGTGATATGTCCTCACAGCAGTAGAATAATAACCAAGACACCTTTATTAAAGTAGTTATTAATGTTTTGACAGAACCTTTAAAAGGCACAGATCAATTACACTCTGTGCAGTGAATTCCTGAAATTGCTTTTCATGGCTTCAGCTCACATCCTGCAGATCACAGGCATGTACTACCATGCAAAGCAGAGGCTGCTCCTATGTCTTCAGGTTGTGGCTATAACATCCCATTAAATCATTTTATTTTACTAAACCCTGGGATTCCGTTGTAATTCCTGAGTCAGAGGTGGAGGGAAATATGTTAAATACTTAAAAAAATTTAAAAATATTTTTTTAGCCAGGTGGTGGTGGTGCACACCTTTAATCCCAGCACTCGGGAGGCAGAGGCAGGCAGATCTCTGTAAGTTCGAGGCCAGCTTGGTCTACAGAGTGAGATCCAGGACAGGCACCAAAACTACACAGAGAAACCCTGTCTTGGAACCCCCCCCCCAAAAAAAAAACAAAAACAAAACCCAAATAAGTAAATAAATAAGCAAATAAATTAAAAATTAATAAAAAATTTAAAAATGTAACATAATAGTAAGTAGTTTTTTTTCTATATTTCTGTTAAGGCAAGAAAATAATTAATAATAATTAATTCCATAATCCATACTGCTGCTATATCGTAAATATAACTTAAGCGTGCATGTATTTGTTTTTATTTATTTATTTGAGGCAGTTTCTCACTGTGTGACCCTGACTGTCCTGGAACTTGCCACACAGCATAGGGTAGTCTTGAACTCACAGAATCCATTTGCCTCTGCCTTCCAGTTGTTTGTATTAAATGCATGTACCACCATGCCTGGCTATTTTAATTTTATGTTTGTTGGTGGTACTAGGAATTGTACTAGGCAAGTGCTCCACCACTGAGCAAATATACTTGGCCTTTTTGTTCTTTTTTTGAGGTGGAGTCTTGCTTTGTACCTGGGTGGCCTGGAACTTAGTGTGTGGGCCAGGATAACCTCAGACTGAGCAGTTCTCCTGCCTCTGCTTCCAGGTTCTGGGATTACAGCTGTTTACCACACCTGGCTTAATAAGTATGGCTGTGTATGTTTATCAAAGTTTATGTAAAAATGAATTTGGAGTTTTATTTTTTGTCTATGGAAAAATGATTAATAATGAAAAATTACTCTTATAAAAGTGATACACATATCTTTTATTATACAAATGAAATATTCATATACTCTTCCTGATTGAAAAACTCCCTAAAACTACAGTAATCAGAATGGTGGTGTGCTCAGCTAGACATAAAGAGCAGTAGAACACTGTGAAGGACCCAGAAACAAACCTTCAGCTATGAGGCCAGGTGGGTATCGAGGAGGATGTTACTCAGCAGTCCTGAAAAAGTACAAGACAGGGGAGTTGGATTCCTGCCTCATGGCAGGCATGAAACAAACCGGAGTGGATCAAAGACTAGAGATGCAAAATGGAAAAGAAAACGTAGGGAAGAAGCTTCCCGATGCTGGCTTAGATCCCACGTC